AAACGTCATGATCAAGCCTAATCAACCCGTCTTGTATTTTTTACGAGGCGTACCGAGGAGTTTTGTACGAGAAGAATTGTTGGTCGTTCCCATCGACACGCAATTACCGCCAAAATGAGAAAAATGGATTAAGGGAAAAACGCGTTGTAATAAAAATGATGCAAAATACTTGTCGTTGGATCAGGATGGGTTCTACCGAAACGTGTGGAAAAGCGGCGTTGAAGCATCAAGACTCGATGCCCGAGCATCTACGCGGATATTGCCGCGGTCACAAGTTTAGAATCGTGCGAGGAGGGGGTACGGTTTCGTGCGAGAGATGCGGTAGGGGCTGCAAGACTTTACTGCACAATATCTGCTATAGATGCGGCGGGCAAGTTGTGAGCAACGCGATACTCTTGCGACGTCGATCGCCCGGTCAACGTCCCGAGGGTGAAGACGGCTGTCGTTATCTCAAGATGGGTTCGAAGCAAATGTGTCGCAGGATTATCCGCCGGGATCAAGACTCGCTGCCCGATCACCTCAAGGGGTACTGCGCCTACCACATGTATAGGATAAAGCACGGTAGCAAGATATCTCCGTGTTACGTGTGCGGTGTGGGATGCAAGGTTACGATCGACGGCGTGTGTAAAAAGTGCGCGGCTCGGTAAATTGCAAAATACGTTTGTATTTTGTAATCTGACGTACGCCCTCTATCGACGTAGTTTGCTAAATTGATTTCAACTTAAAGGGTCGAGGTTATTTAGTTAAAATGACAAAGCAGAACAAACAAGCACGAGGTAGACGCGGCCGCCGTGGTGGACGGGGCCGTCGAGGTGGACGGGGTCGTCAAGGTGAACGCGACGACCTCCTAAAACGCACGCAGCGTCAACTGGAGGAATGTGAGGACCAACTAAAACGCACGCAGCACCAACTCGAGGAATGCGAGCATCAACTAAAACGCGAGCAGTGGAAACTCGAGGAACGCGAACAAAGCGAAAAACGCGCGCAATGGGAACGCGAGGACCGCGAACGCGAGAGGCAAGAGCAGCAAAGACGCGAGGACCGCGAACGCGAGGACCGTGAGCAGAGGGACCGCGAGAACCGCGAACGTGAGGTCCAGCAAGCTACAAATCCTAGTGGTGAAATGCAGGCAAGGGCAGAAGGTGAATTGGAACCCCCAAACGACCAACCCGGATTTCGTCTTATTCGAGCGAGCGATACGCACGAAACTTATCGGATAGACCTAACGCGTTTTACCGATCCACGCGAAATCTTACAATATAGGGCTCACATCGAGGGAATATTGCAAAATCATCGTTTCGGAGGTATCAGTTATCGACTCGTTTTAGTCGTAAATATGTCGCGAAACGCAGTGACGGCCATACCCGCCTTTCACTCGGGTGAATATAGAGTTTTCGATGAATTAGATTTGGAAAGAGTCGTAAATCGCATAGTCGAGATTATCGAGCAATGGACCAGAGAGGGTTCGGGATGGCACATAAATCATCTCGAGCATCTCGATATAGAGATTGCTAGGTATAACCCCTTACGCGGTGCTACGTACGTACCGTTACCCAACGTGCTGAAAAATAAAAAGGCAATCGTCAACGTTAAAAACAAAGACGACCTGTGCATCAAATACGCCATTGCCAGCGCGCTTCACCCCGTCAAGGAGCACACCGATAGACCCTCGAGATATGCTCAACATCTGGACGAGCTCGACTGGAGCGGCATCACGTTCCCCACGCCAGTCAAACAGATTAAAATCATCGAAAGGAATAATCCACGGCTCAAGATTAACGTTTACGGCTGGGTAGAGGAGGGTGGGGGATATTTACACCCAGTCTACGTAGGCGGTGAGCACGTGGGTCGTACGCTGATTAATCTCTTGCTGTACGATAATCATTACATGCGGATTAAAAAGATGAGCCCGCTTCTCGCCGGTTACAGCAAGCACAAGGGGAAAAAGCATTTATGCTCGCGATGCATGCACGTTTTTAGAACGGAAGAATGCCTGTTAAAACACGAGTCCGATTGCAGAGGCATAAACGACGGTATAACGCTGGTGCAAGTCGTAGATGAAAAAGGTATGTTGTATAAATATAAAAACGTACAACACAGGGCCAAGACGCCGTTTGTAATCTATGCAGATTTCGAGTGCATCTTGGAAAAGATGCCGACAGACGAGACCGGACCGAAAACGTTTAGAATCAACAAGCACGTGCCGTGCGGTTGGTCGTACGTGGTGGTAAGGTACGACGGTCGAGTGGTCGGACACGATTTGCACAGCGCAAATGCCGAGAATGCGAGTACGTGCGTAAAATCCTTTTTGGAACGACTCGTGATCGAAAAGGATAAAATTATCGACATTTTCAAGCGAAAACCCGTCGACCCCCGCAGCGTGATGACGGACGAGGATGAAGCAGACTTTGAAGCCGCGACGACCTGTTGGATCTGCGAACGAGGTGGTTTTACGGAATATAGCGGGGCCGACGACTGTTGGAAATGTGAGAAGGTCAAGAACAACCCCGACAATAAATACAAGACGTGTTACGAGTGTAAGACAAAAAAGAATGGGCAAAAGGTGCGAGATCACTGCCACGTCACCAACGCGTATCGCGGAGCGGCTCACGCGGGTTGCAATCTCAAGTTACGGTTAAACGAGAATACACCCATACCCGTGATATTCCACAATCTGACCGGGTACGACTCGCACCTGATCATACAGGTCCTCGGAGAGATGTCGGGTAAGATTGAATGCATCCCGAGTAATACGGAAAAATACATTTCCTTTAGCTTGGGTAACCTGCGATTCATCGATTCGATGAAATTTCTTAACGCCTCGTTGTCGACGCTGGTGAGCAAGTTGTCGATCGAAAAGTACAAGATCACCAAGACATTTTTTGGTAGCGAGGGCGATTTGGAACTGCTCACGAGAAAGGGCGTGTATCCGTACGAATACATGGATTCGTTTGACAAGTTTCGAGAGGAGGGTTTACCCAGCAAGGAGCTATTTTACAGCAGCCTGCGCAACGAGGGTATAAGCGACGACGACTACGAGCATGCCAAGAGGGTTTACGAGCGATTTAAATGTAAAAACTTGGGTGATTATCACGACATCTACCTCAAGACGGACGTTTTGCTGTTGGCCGACGTGTTCCAAAACTTTAGAGCTATGGCGTATCGAGAGTACGGATTGGGTCCGTGCAACTATTTCACGCTACCGGGTTTCAGTTGGGACGCGCTGCTCCGCAAGACTGGGGTGGTGCTCGAGCTGATTACCGACTTGGACATGCACTTGATGCTCGAAAGGGGAATCAGAGGCGGTATCAGCATGGTTACCCATCGATACTGCAAGTTTAACAACAAGTACATGGACGACCACGACGAGACGAAACCCAGTACGTACGGACTCTATCTCGATGCAACCAATCTGTACGGGTGGGGCATGAGTCAGCCGTTGCCGGTTTCGGATTTTAGGTGGTTCGATCCGGACGAGTACGAGACGGCCCTCGAGGCTAAGGCCGACGCCGACAAGGGGTACTTTCTCGAGGTGGACTTGGAGGTGCCGAAAGAACTGCACGACCTGTTTGGCGATTACCCCCTGGCACCCGAGACGCTCGCGCTTCGTCGCGAGTGGATGAGTCGCTACCAGCTCGACCTGCAGGGCGACGAAAATCCGGGGGTAGAGAAACTCGTACCGAACCTGATGCCCAAGACCAAATACGTCTTGCACTATAGAAACTTGCAGTTTTATCTCGCCAAGGGTCTCAAGCTGACCAAGGTTCATCGCATCATCGAGTTTACGCAGAGGGCGTGGATGAAGGAATACATCGACATGAATACCGAGCTCAGAAAGGCGGCAAAAACTGACTTTGAAAAGGACTTTTTCAAGCTAATGAACAATTCCGTTTTCGGCAAGACTATGGAAAATGTACGCAACAGGCAAACTGTTATTTTATGCAAAAACAGCGAAACTCGTAAAAAAATCAAGCTGTTTTCGAAACCAAACTTTAAAAACTTTGTCGATATTAACGATGACCTCGTTGCCATCCACATGAACAAGACGCGGGTCGTGCTCAACAAACCCATCTATTGCGGTGCGGCCGTCTTGGATCTGAGCAAGCTTTTAATGTACGAGTTTTACTACGACAAGCTCAAAACCATGTACGGCGATCGCGTCAAGCTCTTGTACACAGACACTGATAGCCTATTGATGAGAATCACCACCGAGGATGTTTACGCCGACATGCGAGAGAATTTAGATTGGTTCGACACGAGCAACTACGGCGAGGACAGCATGTTGTTCAGCGAGAAAAATAAAAAGGTTCCGGGAAAGATGAAGGACGAATTGGGCGGAACCGTCATGACGGAATTTGTCGGACTCAGACCGAAAATGTATTCATTGGAGACGCAAGACTCGAGTATGGATGTCAAGCGGGCAAAAGGAGTCGCCAAACACGTCGTAAGGGACCGCATAAATCACGATGATTACGTGCGCGTGTTGACTAGTAGAGAGGATATGCATTGCGACATGAGCTCGATTCAAAGTAGCAAGCATGAGCTTCACACGATCAATCAGACTAAAAAATCGCTATCTCCGTTGGACACCAAACGGTATATTCTCGCCGATGGAATCACTACCTACGCGTACGGGGATTACAAGATAGAGCAAGTTCCCGAGTAGATTTCGTGATTACGTGACTGTTTTGTGTGATGACGTCATCGGGGTCACGTGGCTGAAAAGAGTTTTGATTACGTCATCGGGGTCACGTGACTGAAAAGAGTTTTGATTACGTAATCGGGGTCAAATGATATTTAATGACGTCATTTGATAGGTCGTTTTGCAAAATGATGTATTATATTGAGAATTTCCCGGCCATGGTCGCGTGACGTCATTTTGTAAATGAATATAGCATTATTAGTGTATTAGAATAGGAGAATTTCCCGGCCATGGTCGTTTACAACGATAACTGAAATGCATTGGCCGGAAACTCTCCATTTCCTACTACTTTATCATAATTAGACGAAATGCCACTAAATAAACTTCCAAAAGATGAATTGTGACCCCTTACTGGTGTAGATGTTTTTGGGTGGGGATTTGATGGAAAACCACTTGGTAGGCTATCATCCAGGGATGAACTTATTGGCTCGGTCTGTGTTGCAATTGACACATAAGTATTGGTTTTTTTTATTAGAATGAAAGTGAATTATTCCATCAATACACTGGTGAATCTGAAAGGAAAATATTTAAGCATGCTTAGGTTGCTAGCTATTAGGTCGGGTAGGCATTTTAATAATACCATATCAGTAATATTACTTTCTGTAGTATAGAGTATGAGGTAAAGTAGTTTACTAAAATAAGGCCAACAAAAAATTGTTTGCCCTTTTTTTTTAAAATGAGAGAGGCGGGTGGAAAAAGTTTTTTTTAAATTTTTTGTTTTTAAGATCGTCATCAGATGGAATAAAAATAACCCAAAGAAGCTAGAATTGCAATATCTTGCATCAAACAACAATTTTAGACTAATTTTTTTGTAGGGCATATATTTGCAAGCCAACATTTTTTTGGCCTAATAGTCCTACCTGACCTAAGATACACATACTACAATTATTTTAAGAAATCCAACATGTGTGCAAGTCCATAAATTCAGACATTATATTATTTAATTTTCAAGTTCTAGAAAATTAATTTTTATCAAGAAAAAAAGTATATTATGAAAACTTTTTGAGAATAATTTAAATGAACATCTAATTATAATATTGTACGTCAGTACGTAATACTGTACTATTATTGTACGGTATTTTTGATTCAGTACAAAAATAATAAATTAAGCGCTGAATCGGTCTGTATCAATTTGTAATATAATTTTATTAAAAACGCGCAGGAGAAGCGACAAACAACTTCATGCATATCATTTAAACGCTAGCACTCGGGGAGAACAGTCAGCGTCCTATGGAAGCTTGCTTTTGATGACGACCTTGTTTTTTAGGCCTATAGTATTTAATGCTGACGAAACAAAACAGGAATAACAATTATCCACGCCTCTTCTTAAGAAAACTATTTAGGCTAAAGGAAGGTTTTTCATCGTCTTATTGATCGACTAGGCCCCTAGTCAAAAATTGAGTATTTTTGAACTAGGTAGGATACTGCCTTGGTCCATGCCAACAAGAGCACGAACCCATGCTGGAATATATTACGGGATTTAATACAACACTGGACATAATGAGATAGGCTAAGTAAAATTTCATTTTGTTCTCAATAAACTTGAGATCAACAGAAAATTAAAAAAAAACCTAGATCTTAGGGCCTAGGCCTACCTACCTTTGTTTTTTGAGGTCTGCTGCTGCTGCTAGCCCCGGGCTTTCCTAGGCCTAGATATGTCGTGGGGGTAGATGAGGATGGCCTGACATTCACTTCAGTCGCAGTTTTATAGTTAAATATTGTTGGAACAGCATCCTCATTTAGCTTATTTCGTCGTTGTTTTAATCCTAAAATTTCTGATCTGACATCTCGACTGAATGAACTCTGATCAAAATGAGCGCTGCAAATTCTGGAACCTTTTTTGACAGCTTTTGGATTTTCTAACTTCATTGCATTTAACCATTTTAACCGTTTCTGGTTTGCCAAAGGTAGCCTGTGATAACTTACATTAGGCCTAGTATTTTGATTTTTACATCCAGGCACAATACACAAATTTGGCATTGTGATTTTTTTTTTCAAGGAGCCTACCTTTTTAGGGCCTAAGCTAGGCCTTGGCGAGATGATATTATTAATTAGGTTGGACTTAAAAATTATTTTTAAACTTTTATATTTCGCCGATGAGATGTTGACGTTGCTGTTTCATGTATCCAGGGCGTTGTCAAGGAGTCGGTGATTACTAAATTTAGGCCTAGCGTAATTTCTTTATTCCCAAAAATGGGCCACGACCTTCTTTTTTGATAAAGAAATAAAAATAAAATAGGGCCTAGGCCTAGTTACAAAAAAAAATTATATAAATAATCAGTTTCTAAACTTGCAGTATCTTCATTATTTATTTTACAATCTCATAGAGGAATTTTTAATAATTTCATACAATACTAGTTGTAGGCCTAAGCCTACACTTTCATAATACTAATTAGGCATAGGAGACTTGAGTGATAAACAAGAAGAGTAGTAGTAACAGTAAAACACAGCAAAACACAGCAAGTAATGTATAGCGCCGCCAGCGGCAATACGATCTGGGGTTACTTTATTCGCCAATGACGTCATTGGCGAATTCGTAAATTACCTATAACTTTATAAAAAATTCCAAAATAAAGATAATAAAATTGTTTCATTTTCTAATGAAATATGAAAAATCCCCTCAAAAACAAAAAATCGTTTTGCGAGTTCTCTTTTAAAATCGTCATAACTTTAAGATGAAAACATACCTGCCTTAAGACGAAAATTTTCGTCTTATCTCATGTAACTAGAGGCAGTTTAGCAACTGCAAGTGCGAGCACGCTAGGCCAACAAACTGAAAGCTGATCTGCGCGCCGCTAACGCAATTTCCCCGATGGACGCCAACGAAGAACTAGGCTTAGAGGAAGAAGTCGGGCTAGGTCTAGGCCTAGTAGTAGAAGTCCGAAGAAAGGAACGCCTATTCAGGGACAGATGTAATCCTTTTGACTGTCCAGAGGATACATTCAGGCAGTTGTACAGACTGCCAAAATTGTCTGTATTGGACATATGCCATGAAATCGGTCCATTTTTAAGACGGCAAACAAAACGATCACAAGCCGTTCAAGTCCCCTTGCAAATTTACATCACATTGAACTTTTTCGCAAGTGGGACCTTCCAGTATGTGCTCGGGCAGAGTTTTGGGCTGTCGCAGCCAACCGTTAGTCAGGTTATTAAATATTAAACATGTTACCAGATCAATTATCCGTTCCATGAACAGACATATCACTTTCCCAATGGATCGGGAAAGTCAAGTACCAATACAACAACAATTTTTCAGGAAGTTCCAATTTCCACGTATCATTGGGGCCATAGACGGCACCCATGTAGCAATAAAGGCCCCATCTGTTGACGAGCATGTATACGTGAACAGAAAATCATACCATTCAATAAACGTTCAAGCCATATGTGACAGCAACTTGAAATTCCTAGATGTTGTTGCAAAATATCCAGGCAGTTGCCACGACTCTTTCATTCTCTCTAACTCCACAATCGGCCAACGCTTCCAAGATGGTCTAATCCCCAACGGCCTCCTGATAGGTATGTTAACTTTGAAAAGTTTGTATATCCAGTGCATGTCATTTACAGTAATTAGCATAATCCTGAATAGAGGGCTCACTGTATCAGTTTACAGTTTGTACTGGTTCCCACTTTTTCAAAATAGTTGTGCGTCCATCACATACGAATTACATGTTGAGAAAAACGAACTGAATAGTTAAATTAATACATAGCTAAATTTATAACATCAACATAATATAATATTATTAATGATTATTATTATTATATTAATAATCATTATAATTGAAATAATAATAATAATAATAGGGCCTAATAATAATAATAATAATAATAATAATAATAATAATAATAATAATAATAATACCATGTATTAATATTAATAAAATAGAAAAAGAAATTGAAGATTGTTTTGTTAAATTAAAATGGATTAGAGGAAAGATTATACTGTCATTGCCTTATAGTAGTTATGGGTGATTTAAGTAGATCAAAATCAAATATGTTTTAATGCTTTACAAGACATCTTCTATTCATAAGCACTGAAGAAGAGAATTCACCATTTTGTTTTTAGATTGGAATGAATATTGTAAATCTGTAACATCTTTTTTTTTTACTTTGGTAATTATATAGGTGACAGTGGATATCCTTTACGCGAATGGCTAATGGTGCCTATAAACAACCCTACTACAGAAGATGAACGCAACTACAATGATATGCATGCAAGTGCAAGAAATGTTATTGAACGCTCTTTTGGAGTAATGAAGAGTCGCTTCCGCTGTATTCATTGCTCTGGTGGTAATTTACAGTACTCACCAAAACGATGTTGTGAAATTATCATGGCTGTTGCTATATTACACAACTTGACTATCCACATTCCATTACTGCCAGAAGAGGAGATAGAAATTGATTTGGTTGAGGAAGATGCCAGACAACCTCAACATGTTGCAGGTGCCAATGCAGCACGCAAAGAACTAATACGACAACTGGCATAATAAAGAATTTATTAATTGAACAGATTTTGAAATGGATCAAGAATAAATAATATACAAATCTGAAAACATAAATTCAAAATTAAATTAAATTAATTGGATTTTAAACTTTAATCAATATGATTCAAGAATGTGTGTCATTTTGGAAAATCAGTTAGTACACTACGTCGCAAAACATGATTAATGCAAAACATCAACCAAAATATTTATAATTAGGGCTTAAACCAAAAAATTACAAAAAAATTTATTAGCACTCATTCCAGTGAGCATGGAAGGTCTATCAAAAATTTTTTTTTTTGAGGTCACAACTTTTGTACAGCAGTATATACACTGTATTTATTCCCTGGGTGGCGTTTATTTTTTGGGAGTTTTAAAATTGATACAATACGGTAAATAACTTTTAAAAATTATTAAAATTGTGGAGTCATGAAGAACAGCTTCCGATGCATACATTGCAATGGAGAACGTAAAGAGATAATGCGACTATTGACTCAACGAAGAACCTATATAATTGTTTCACTGATAGTTAAAAAAGAACATTTATTGTCATGTCAGAGTTATACAATGACTTAATTACCGAATGTATTTTGGATGTTCACAATATAAACAACATTAAATAGGTTCTTCAGTGGATCAATATTTCTTTTCAATAGAAAGAATCAATCAATACTATCTTCTCACAATTCAATAAAATTTATTAATATAAGTCCAATTCAACTCCCAATATGCTGTATAATATTATCCATCTATTTTTAATATTTTTAAATAATATACATATTTAGGCAAGACTTTTTATACCTCGTTTTGAATTTACAATAAAAGGGTGGGAAAATTAATCGATATAAATATTAACTATATTAACAATTGCATTGCACAATAAATCATCAATATAAATAATTTTAATGGAGTTTGGATTGCACTTTAATAAATTATCATTAATATTTAATCATTTATGGATCAATACTAATCATTTCCTTTGAGTTGTCAATCAATATTGATTTATATTATACTTTATTAAGAATATTAACTATTTTGCATCAAATCTTTAATAAATTATCATCAATATATAAACATTTCATTTGAGTTGTCAATAAATTTGAATTGCACATTGTCATCAATATTAATCATTTACCGTATATAAACTAGCTGAGATCTGCCAACTTTGACTTTGAGTTTATCAAGCCAGAATAGACCGAATCAGCGATCGACGATGTTCAGCTATTAGTGGGTATTCGAACTAAAACAAACGCACGAAGATAGGCAATTTACACAGTAATTTAAGAAAATAGCCTTTACTAAAACATCTCATACACGCTTTGTGTGTAAAGTTGAGCGTGAACAGAAACCATTGTTACATGTTTATGAATGTAACGTCATCTTTTCTCTACGATTGTGTATGCCAAATGTAAAATATAACGAGAATTAATCATACTATTTTAGGGCCTGTGTTACAGCACGACGATGGCAGCCGTGTATTCACTTACAGTGAATCATGGCGTCGGTCGACGAATGTGTTTGTTGCAAAACTCATGAAATATGTTGTACTTGCAGATTTCAAGGAGAGATAAGTTATTCAAAAATATTGAATAATGTTCCTAAATTCACACCAATAACTTTGGCAGACTGGATGTCTAAACAAGTAAATGAAACTGTCAGGAAATCGTGGCGAGGCCTCACGCAATCATCACATCCAGCCATGTCGCGTTGTCATACAACAAATGTCAGGGGCCGAGGCCTAGCCTGCAAAAACTCTATGTATATTTAACTTAATTTTACATGAAAAGCAAATCAAACGTCTTATGATGGCTCAATGAACCTTCCTTAACCTACCAATGTTTTAAAAAGTATCTTACCCGCGTACTTTGGTTTTTTTGCTTGTTTTCCTGGACCATAAATAAACTCGCAACGTTATAGAATAGGACTTTTAGGCTTTGTTTAAAATTTTATATCTACTCGGCCAAATTGTGATGACGTCATCTTTCGTCGCTAATTCGGTCTACTTTATCAAACTGAGTATACAATGTACACAAACTTTATAAATAATAATAATAATAATCATAAGAAATAATAATGAGGAATACTAACTTCTCTGTGAATGAATAACTACAATTGTGGATGGCAAATGGGAGTTTGTGTAAGCATCCCCCATCAACCATCTCCCTCCCCCCACCCAAAAAAAGAAGAGAGCATGGTGAGTGGTTATTAATGATTTTCAGGCTCTTGGAGATATATCCATAACAATGGAGAAGATAAAGAAGTGGTCAAATATCAAAGTTAAAGGAGCATTGCATTATAATTGAAAACCTATGGTATCAAAGGTGGCCTTAAAACTACCAAAAACTGTGAAGGAAGAAAACAGTACAAAAGTGTATACTGTATCTATATATTTTGCTTTTCAAGATCCCATCGGTTTTTTTCGATTATTAGTCGTTGTTTTTCGATGTTCAGCCTTTCTCTTTCGATTTCGAGCCGCTGACTTTCGACATTCAGGATCTTTCTAGTAACAAATAGTAAATCTTCATTCTTTTTTAACTCTTCGTTCTTTGGTTGGGCCGGTACCTGCAAGTTGATCATTTCAAACGGCACCTCCCATAATTTTTCACAAGAACTTCCTGTAAAAGATAAAAGTGATGCAAAATTAAGAATAAACAATATATCAGTCATGAGGGGAAGGGTTTGGAGGGAGGTACCCCTTTTCCACATTAGGGCACATAGAAAAAATTATTAGATTAGGCAATGTAAAATAAAACAATTGGTTAGCATCCTTATGTTATCAATTTTCATGGCAGGGAGGGAAGTTTTTTTCTTTTCATCGAACATGAAAAGAAGAGTTTCGCAAGGAAAAACAACAACAAAAAAGAAGAATAAAACAACAGAGTCCAACAAGCATCTATAGCAAGCAGAAACTTTACCTATGAATAACTGCGTCATAATGCAATTATCTCTATGTATTATCATGCACAATTCACTCCTCAACACAACAGGCATCATGAATACCATGTGGCTACAGAATAGGCCTATAGAACAACAGTAGAGCATAGAACTGCAAGTGGAATGGCTAGTGTTGAGTTTGTGAGTGTATTGTTAAAAAAAAAAAAAAATCGGGTCGGTGGCCTTTTTGATGGTAGGGAGGGGATGCTAACCAATTATTTTATTTTACATTGTCCTTACCTTAGCACTCTTTTTTTTTTTATAATTAGATGAGGGGGGATTTTTTTTTTTCAATCAGAACAATAGATTATTTTGCTTTTGTTTTTATTGATGAGGGAGGGAGGGACTGTTTATATTTGGCTTGTGATAGTAAATATTGTATATAGGCCTATAAGGATTTAATTTTATAGTTTTTTTTTTAAAGAAAATGTATTTGAAGTCATATAATTGCATTGTTATTTTTATGCTGTTAAAATAATTGATGCGGTAAAAATAATTTTTTTTAAATTCACGCATAAATATTTCCCAAATTATTGACACCCAGTAATAGTAGTACTAGTAGTAGAGTAGGGCCCTAGGCCTAGATATAGCCCTAGACCTACACGCACAATTAACTATTAAAATAAATAGCTCCCCTAGTCTGAGCCTAGCTTAGGCTAGCTAGGCTATGCCTATGCCTAGAAAAGACGGCCTAAGAGCTTATTCGGCCTAGGCTCTAGCTAGGGTAAGCTAGGAGGTATTGGACGGGTGCAGGTGAACTCGGCCACAAGTCAACTCGGCCACAGTCAACTCGGCCACAAGTCAATTGGTAATAATAACGATATTTAAATATCAATTTTAATAATTAATTAGTGATAATAACGATATTGAAGGTGATAATAGCAATAATACAATAATAAATTAAAGATAATGTTTATTTTTATAATAATAGTAATACATTAGTAATAATAATAATAATGATACTTATAATACTAGGCCTACTTAGTAATAATAGGGTAATAATATCGATAATAAAGGTGACAACAACAACAATAATATTAATAATAATAATATGAGAAAAATCTAATAAAACGCCAATAACAACTTTTTAAATTACTATTATTAAAATTATAATACTAAGACTAATAAATAATAATAATAATAATATGAATAATAATAAAAAATCGAAAATTATTTATTATTTATATGGTACTATAAATATATGTACTATATATATATATATATATATAATAATAATAATAATATCAGCAAAAATTTGAGCAATATATAATGTTAATGCTAAGACTAATAATTAATATTAAAACTAATGGTAAACAAAACAACAATAATAATAACAACAATGACAACAATAATAACAGCAATAATAATAACAATTAGTACAATGTAGTACCAGTAAATGACTTGTGGCCGAGTTGACTTGTGGCCGAGTTGATTTGTGGCCGAGATGACTTGTGGCCGAGTTGACTTGTGGCCGAGTTGACTGTAGCCAAACTTTTTGTGGCCGAGTTAACTTGTGGCCGAGTTAACTTGTGGCCGAGTTAACTTGTGGCCGAGTTGACTGTGGCCGAGTTGACTTGTGGCCGAGTTGGATCGAATTCTATTGGACTAGAGCATATCGGGAATGGGAGAGTTATACTTTACCTTCACAGTTCATGGTACTTTCAAGTCCACCTTCGATACCATAGATAGCAGCATCTCCAATCGTTGCCAGTATTTTCTGGCACTCGTCATCGAGTGCCGCAGGTGCTTCACCTCCCCCTGTCTTATTGGATTCATGACGATGCAATGCTCCTCGCTTTTTGCTCTCTACTTTTATGTTGGACCACTTTTTCTTTATCTCCTCAACTGTTCTAACGCTACCTCCAACAGCCCGAACCTCATCGGCAACCTCTTCCCATCATGCTCTCTTCTTTTTTTGGCTGGTCACGGTTGACCCACATAGACTCCCATTAATAATGCTTTTTCTCCTACTTACGCCGTCCACGATTGCAGTAATTTCATTTGCTGAGAAGTTAGTATTCCTCTTTGACTTAGATGGTTCCATCTTGTCAACTCAAGAACAAACTTGTCTATGAATGATCAAGGGGAATGATGATGCGTATATGCTGCGAGTGCGTCGTATCATGCAGGCGACGACGAACCAAGGAAGTAAACAAAAAATTGCGCCATCTAGGTCCGCGCCGTTTTTCAAAAGTAGTAAAAATCGTATTACACATGCGTAAGCAAATATTTTTGGACTTAAGACAAAATTTGCTGCCCTCTATAAGCTACAAGAAGTCGATTGTACGCTTGCGCCATCTAAGATGATATTTTTGCTAAGATTTTGCTAAGATGGTTTGATAAATCAGCTTAAGATTTTTGCTTAGCTACTTCTTAACTTTTTTGACTTAAGACATTTGCTAAGCTGAGATTGATAAATCCCGGGCCTGGATTTGAAGCGCTCTATCTTCCCGAGAGCCTCGGATCTGCCGGGTGTTGTACGTGTATTGGTAATATGCAAATGCGCTGACCCGAAGGTCGTAGTGCCTCAATGGTTGGGCTACATTAACCCTGCGAGGGTCGTCACTACATTATGACTGGCGAAAATATTCAATAATAATAATAAAATAAGTCGAAGGCATTTTTGAAGAATGAATCTTTCAAAAAGATATGTTTGCTGGTTTGGATAAGGAAGTCTTGAAAGTGGTGATCTTAATAATAGTGGCGTTAAATAGGTTTGTTTAATACCAACTTGTCTTACCTGTGTAGGCATAGCCTAGCATTTAGTGCAGTACTGTATGTATGAATATGGAATACTACTGCCTGGCGCGACCTAGGCCTAGGCCCCAAGCTTAGGCCTAGACATACAAACTATAGTATAATAATAATATTTCAAACATTAGACAAACAAACAACACTATTTTAAATAAAGTGCATTATTTACATGTTTTAATTATTAGATCCATGGAACTATCTAGGACCTAATACTACTAGGCTACTACAGCATTACTAAAATGCCAGTTTATTCGTCGTGGAATGTGGTTGATACCTTGAAAGCTATCTCAAATTTTCGCGGAAAATGGCTTGGAAAAATGTGCACAGAACTTAACTTCTGCATATTAATGAAATAATAAATTCTATTCAAAATAATTGTTTAGGTCATGGCTATGTTACACCACTTTGCAATGCATTTGAATATGGGCTTTTCACAGTGATGGTTAATTAGAATATATATATTTTCAACAAAAATTACCATTGATGATTAGTGCCAGAATTCCTTATAAAGATATTGTAATATCAATACTAATTGTTTTTGAATGGTGTAAGAAGTGTCACTCTGATTTTTTTTAACTAGTCTGTTCAAACTTTATATTGTACTTCTCTTTTTACAGGAAATGCCGACATGTTGGATATCGATGGCTTTCATTTGGTAGGTGTTTAACAGGCTAAAGAAATCTGACAGAAGGGTCATCCCATCTTGCACTGTGTGGGCGATTAGGGACAAGAAGCTGTGAAGACAGCCCTGGGCTTTTTGATGCTATAGAAGATGATGAAATAATCTTTGTGTTGGAAGAATTATTTATAAATTGTTATGGAAGATACCTGATAAGTCCATCCTTATTAATGCAACAGATCTTATGTAAATAGATACATTCTTGACAATTCATGTGACATCTGTGCTCTGTTTTGTTTGACAATCTCATCACTCATGAAAGGAAATTGTTTCAGCATAGGCCAAGAGCTTTTGCATATCTGGACCAGTCAATTGTGTGTAAACTTTCCAGACCTAGTCTGTAATTGAAATTGTTGCTATTGATGCGGATAGGCCAGCAAAGTTGATTTCAAGAACATTCTGTCGTTAAGTACAGTACAATGTTTTTTGTATCTTCCCCACCCTCGTCTCATATTTTAAAATTTTAAGCTAATACAGTATGAATTAGAATTTTGTGTACAGTAAATAAATGTAACTTGTTCTTCCCTATTCTTTACATTGGTATAAACTATACTCAGTATTAAACTATAAATCCATATATAAAATATTTTGATAATAAATAGTGTGTAAAATGCAGTGATATATATTGTAATACCTGACTGCTTTAATGTTGCTTTATTCTGTGTACAGTAAAACAATTTTATATTAACTGTGAGAAAATACACTTGTAATAAATTATTTGCCATGTACAAGGATGATAAATTGTGTTTCAAAATATTTATTTAGTAACACTAGTAGTCTTGAATTTACTGTATGTACAACAATAATAATAATAATAATAATAATAATAATAATAATAATAATAATAATAATAATAATATGGATGTTGAATATCATCATGAAAGAGGAAATCTTGGCTATGGTAAATAATACAATACAATCAGACATGATAAATAAAGCAGTGCAGTTAAACTTGCCTAAGACGACTAATAATATACTCCATCTAATTTTACATGCCAAATTTTTGTATTTTCCATTACCGTAAGTGCAAGTCAAATTTTGTTAGGGTCAAACAATTTCTCAATGGCATTTTTGATATGACAGGCAAGTTCAACTACTGTATTCTAAAATAATAAACAAAAAATGGTGTACAGCAAAAAAATTAAAGCTTTCTCTTAAATTCCAATACCAAATTGATCAGCATGCAGACATAGGCATAATCCAGGTATTAACAAATAAGCAGTTTCATAGAATAACTTTACACAAGACTGTACAAAGCCATACATTAAATAGTTGTTCCTGTATATATTGATCCACATTTTCATACTGTACTATCAACTTCGCACATTACATATTTCAAAATTAATCCTCACAATTTGTTTTCTAAATCTGGGTCACATTTGCTTCAAAAGGATTACTATTGAATGGGATTATAATACCATTTAATAATATTAAAGATATTTTGCAAGTGAAACAGGTACAGTAATACTGGTGCAGTATTTATTTATTTGTTATAAATTTGGCATGCAATATAAACCAGATGTTGCAATATAAACCAGGGCGTAAAAAACAAAAACTTAAGTGTGTGGCATTTCAGTATATCTTCAGAAAAAAAAAATCACTAGATAAATCATTTTCATTTAATTCTTTGGAAATATTTTGGCCTCAATCACTTGCTGCAGAGCTCTGAGCATTGCCACATTCTGCTAACCATGGATTGGACATGTCCATTTCATCATGTCAACACAGATGGAATTGTTTGCATCACATCCATTTGAGCCAGTCACTTGCTCCTATTGAGGAATAAATATACAGTAACAATAATGCAAAACCAGGTTTGTTAAAAATCAAAAATGTTATCAAACATTGGCATTTGCTGCTTTATCAATAACATACCATACTGAGATACTGTATGTACTAATCTGAAAAGACATTCATTAATTGACAGTATTTTCAGATTTTTTAATTACTTGATTGAAGCCTTCCTGTCTGCTAGTGTGTAATGTATTATTGTAAATTTCTTAATAAAACTGACACACCATGCTGATATTTTTTTACCATTCCAATATATTTGCTTCATGTACAAACAACCAGAGTGTTTCTTGCTAACGTCTTGCTGGGTGCTTGTATGCTTTGTGCCACCTTCTTTCGTAGATGCCAACGTTGGGTGGTTGTACTCATGGCAAATGTTGTGGTATGTTTGTCTCATCATGGCGACTGGCAAATACCTATGTGAGGAGTGTGTCATGTTTCAGCCTATCACATATCTTGTCCTACAAAAATATATATGTATATATATTTTATTTGAATTCCACATTTCAACAACAGCTGAAAGTTAGGTTTGGAGTAACATGCATCATGTTATTATTTAATGGGGCGTTATTGTTGTGTAGCCTAGTTTCTTCTAGGCCTCATATCAATAATAATCTTATCGTTACAGGAATTGGTGTTGGCTCTGATGATATACTGTAGTGTTATAGCACATCACCTTTATTTAGACAGTGCATTTTTTAGACATTTAGGCCTCCTAGGCCTAGACAGTTTTTCATAGGACCAGGCGATAGGCCTATAGTATACTATTATTAGTAGGCCTAGGTCTATTATTATGAAAAAATGCACTATCACAATTAATGTGACATAGTCGCCATGGCATGGCATGACAAGTCTAGGCTAGTAGTAGAAACCTACTAACTTTACCGTCAGCTGGATAAGGCTGCGTGCGAACTCACCTGCTGCGGGACTGGAGCAGTGTCCCGGACAGGAGTGCGCTACTGCTGCTGGGTAGATCTGACACTGACTGTGCTAATCCTAGGCATAGACCTTTATAAACAAACAAGTCATCGGACTGATATACGTTTATTAATTCAATTGAATTATTCCTCCATGATTGATTTGACGTTGACTAAACCGTCACAACGATGAATGACGTCCGGTTCGGCCGTACACTTGTTCGGCCGTAATATATTTGTATGGAACGCCAAATAGGCACAGAGCTGTGCGTATGCTATGTGTGTGTGGTTAACAATAATCTCTCTATTGTAATCTATTGCTACTGTATCCATGATTTCTTGTGGGAAAACAGTGGATTTTATTACGTTTGTGTTAGTTAATAATGTTTTTTTGCAAGTTAGTAATACTAATACTTATGAGGGATCCTTTAAGAACTTGAACATACCTGAAAACCAAAAATAAATATGTAGAATAAAAAATATATAATTCAGTTTATATGATAAATATGATAAATTTGATTTATCATTAATTTAAACTACTATTTTTATATGGCCCACTTCTATAATCGTGTTAGTGTATAAGATATTTTAAATACGGTAACCAATCACTTTTTTCTGGAATGAAACGTACAGATAAGAAAGTATAATACATACTCCAAGTATTGAAATACACGCCATCGTGTTGGGATTCAATAATT